TAAAACTAGATTCGTTTATTGTTGGTGAAGATATCGAGTCTTGAAAGAAGCACAAACCTCATCGAATCCTCCAGTCTAAACTCGAGAATCACGCTCCAAATGTGAGTCTTTATGGCCCCATTTTTACATTTTTACTTGTTTGGGGGAAATTACATACATGAGTATTTTGATATAATATGATGGTTAAAAAATTTATATGTTATATGCATGCAAAGTTAATACTACATACAAAAACTATTAAAGTCTATGTTTATTATAAATACTATTTTTACAAATAAAGTTTGTTAAAAATGTGGTGATTAGTAATTGACATAGACAAGAATTTTATAAAATGTTAGACATATTTACAAGCACTTGTATAAACAAAAATGTTAGATAAAGAGTAATCTAGTGTTATAGTATTTGTCGGAACAAATAAAAATATCGTTAAGAACTTACGTCGAAATTATGATAGATGAACATTTTTAACTTGTCATGATAGTTATAACCATACGACTTGTGTATATTAGGGCGTTAAGCTTATTTTTCATCAAGTATTAATATGAAAAACATTAAACGAGATGATAATATAATAATATATAAATGAACTATAAAATGACATCAAGAGTAAGAGAATAAACCACAAGTAGTTATATACTATGTTATGATACGAAATCTCATCGATAAATAATGTATATGTATTTTTAAGACTAAAGTTTACTTACAAATAAAAATAATACGTTTTCAACGTTAAGTAAATATTAAAAATACAAAAATATTCGATCAAAGCGACAACCGGTCAACCGGCATAACACCTACACGTACGAGTTACTCGACTACGCCAACGGAACGTCCTTCTTATTGGATTGTAGATTGAAACTACTTGAGTTGTTGCCGTCTCATTCATTGAACTAAAAGTTAAAATTTTAATATTTAACTAAACTCACTAAACTTCAAAAATCTTAATAAGTTAAGATTCCCATTGGTGATCATGGGTAGTGATGGATTTTATAGGACGGAGAATTGTCGTCATGGATATTTGTTGATTGTGTATCCCGTGTGTGTTTATGGGAGGAATATATCGAAAGGGGGTAAAAAGGAGAGTTTTGTGTGGACGTAATTTCTTTCATAAGAACAAAATCCAAGATCGATACCCAATGTATTGAAAGGGGGTAAAAGGGAGAGTTTTGTATGGGCGTAATTTCTTTCATAAGGACAAAATCCTAGATCGAAATCCAATGTATTGAAAGGGGGTAAAAGGGAGAGTTTGTGTGGGCGTAATTTCTTTCATAATGCCAAAATCCTAGATCGAAACCCACTCTATAACTATTAATCCATTTTTATATTGTGTCAAATGGCTTGTGGAGGAGCGACGTATAGTGTCGGTTGTAGACAAATTGTTATATTGAAGATTTTTTTCGGAGAAGTATAGATCTAGATTGAGTCAATTCCCCCGATTGGGGACCGAGAGTGTCGAGTGTTACGCATTATCTACCTCTCCTTACGACATAACCTTTCGTAAACGGACAAGATCGACAGAATAAAATTGTCATGAATTGACTAAAGTTTATCATATAAAAAGGGGGTTGAATATTAAAATATGCGTTATATATAATTTACCGGTCTTTGGAAACATTACCTTGAATTATAAAAATCTTCGGAGTCAAAAGAAAACTATAAAGCTCATCAACATTATTGTTGACGTATTTTCAAAATGTATGTGTCTCTAGGTGTTCAAGGTGGCCGGAAGAACTCTCATCCCGTGTGAGGATGAAGGATTTGACATTGTAAATAAACCGTTGGCTCTATAGTAGCCTTTTGTCTCTTTTATGTTGTAAGAAATCAAAATCCGCGTATAATGCTTATGGATTATTAAACGGTGTATTTTGTCATATTCAGACTTCGGAAGAATGTAATATCGTATAAATTTTATTATTATTTCATTATATGTTGTTGTCTATGATCCAAACGTTTAAGTTGCAACCTCGGCGTTTCCGCTGTTGGTCGGGGTGTGACATTTTAGAAGTCGAGTACCCTGGTTACCCTGTTAAAACCACGGTTTTGTTTAAATGTCATTGGTACAATCCAACACCTAACATAGGAGTTAAGGTTCACAAACAATATAACTTGGTCGAGATAAACATCAAAAGAAAATACAACAAGTTCGAGCCATTTGTTTTAGCAATGCAAACCACTCAAGTGTGTTACATTCCCTACCCAAATTCGAAAACAAACAATTCGGACTGGTGGGTTGTATTTAAAGTTAAACCTCGTGGTTGGACCGATGAAAATCATCCTCAGAAAGATGTTGCTTTCCAAGAAGATGAAGTTGAATCAAATGAAATCATTATATCAAGTCTAGCTGAAACAGACAATCATGATGATGATCACGAAATGTCAAGCAACGATTCAGATAATGAAAATAATATTGATGAAGAAGGTGAAATTCATGAGGACGACAATGATGGTATTCCTGACAGTGAGGGTAGTTATGAGTATAGCACATCGAGCAATGAAGAAGAAGAGGAAGAAGAAGATAATGACTATATGTTTTTGTGTTTAATGTTTTTTGCGATGAAGTTAATTTGTAATTTGGTTTAATATCAATACATAAATGTAAACTAGGAAGAAATCCCGAGCTTCGCCCCGTGATGTTTTTTTGTGTTTACATCATTCTGTTAAAAGGGCATTTTAGTCATTTTTGCTTGCTATGTTGGTTGATTAGGATGAAGTATTTGTAAAACCCATGTTATTTTTGTGATGAAGTATACTTAATGTAATTAAAAATTAGTTTGTAATGGATTCGTTATTAAGGAAAATAATGTACATAGATTATATACTTTAACGTGCCCAGTTAATGTAAGTAAAAATAACTTTGTAATGAATTCGTTGTTAATTATTCATTATATACTATGTTTTCAAGAAATTATACACAACTTGATATTATTGTTAAATTTGATATAATAATACATATACTAAATTTATATAATATGTTGATTATTTTGAATTATATGATGATATATACATCTATTATAACTTCATAATTTCAATCGTTTAAATGACTTTTACCTGCAAGTTACACATGAATAAAATTAATATATTATATGGTTTAATGTTCTTTATAGTTATTGTTATTGTAACTAACTTTTTTTTAAAAAAAATTGCTTAATATTTTAATTTCTTTTATTATTATTATTTAATATATCAAATATTATTTTTTGATTTTAAAGGTAACAATATAATCATTTATATAGAGTTATTTTTCATTATTGTTATTGTAAATTATTTTAAACTATTTATTTGAAAACTTTTAACGATTATAAAAATATATTTAGGAAATATTTTAGTTAAATTGATATTATAATTAAGTTTTTGTATTTATCACTTTTAACTATTTACAAAGTAGTCTTTGGTTTTTTAAGTGCAACTGAAATTTATATTTAAGTTGACATTGTAATGATATATTTAAGTTAACAATTTAAATATTTTGTCCAAACTGTTCAAAAGTTGTAGCTTTAAACTGATAATGGTTTACATATAACAACATATTAAATCTAATAAATTAAGTATAAAATGTTAAAAGTTAAAAACATAACCTTATAAGTATAAGTAAATATATTACACTACTAGAAAAACAGTCTTTTACGATGCGCAATGTGTGTCGTCGAATTCTCAGACGATGCGCAAATGCATGTCAAGAAAGGCCCTGTCATAACGAGAGACGACACTCTTTTGCACGTCGTCTATAAACGACGCACATTTACGGCGCGCATTTATGACACACAATGCGTATCATTAAAGCCGCTGTCAAGAAAGGTCATGTCATAAATGAAAATAACACACATTTTTGTGTATCGTAATTTTTATTTTTATTTTTATTTTTTTAAAAATTATTTGTAGATTTACTAATTTTCAAATTAATTTTGCATCTCATGTCTCATAATAGAAAATAAAATATCATATACAAAAAATATAATCAATTGCACAAAAGTTAATGTCATACAAAATACAAAATAAAATACAATAAATAAGAAAGATAATTCATTGCACTAACATGTTAAATACAAATAATCATCCCTAACTATATAGCCTAATACTACATTGCTATTAAGGTACATCATCATAACTCACTGAAGGTCTTGGAACAATATTCTCGTAATCAACTCTTACACCAACCTTGCTTTAGTAGATGGTATTGTAGCTACTATCTTTTTCAGCGTTAAATCCCCACATATAGCATACTTGTAAATTGCAAATTGTTCTTAAATCTCAATACAAAGTATATATACATATGTCCAAGATGCAAATTATTCAAATAGGTGTTCTAAAATGCTTGCTAGTTTTTATTCATGTCTTATATAATAATTATATTTATTCAGGGTATAAGGTTGTGGGAATGACATACTTATGTCCGTTACTTTGAATCAACACCATAAAATAATTACAAAAATACCCCTCCCAATTACATTGAAAACAGAAAAAAAAACATGTAACAGAAAAACATGAGAAAAAGTCAACAAACCCACCAACCTCTGTAGCTATCAACCACATTTGGCTATCGTTTCCAAATTTTTTCACCTATGATATATTAATTACTCATCTTGATTCACTTCAAAGGAATTAAATTAAATTAAATATGTAAATTATATATATATATATATATATATATATATATATATATATATATATATAATATATATATATTACTCATCCACAACACTTCTTCCTGCAATTACTTTCCCCTGAATACAAGATTTAATTCATCATATCAAAAGCCCTAATCCATAAACTATTTTATTGAAATTGTAATGTGAATTATGATGTTCCAATTGAAAGTTAACAAGACTTACATCTTGTGGATATTAGTGACTGCAGATGATAAGAAATGACATGTGACCTTTTTTATGCAGCTTTCATGGCCTAGTGTCCATACGGGAGGAGTGTCTAAAAATGATCAGTCATGTGAGGAAGGAAAATATGACTTTTGCACAAACAAGTCTTGTGTTGTGCCCTGTGCAATCTTATGTATGAAAAGTGCTTATTGCAATCCCGTGAAGATTAATAATCGTCTGGTTTGTTTTCTTGTTTTCCAAGTGAATGAGGGATGCGAGTTGAGGTACATAGTGACATGCATAGCTTTCACCTGCAATAAAGAAATCTCGGGTTTTGTATTCGGGGAATCTTTCAAGCCAATTGACTAGAAAAGTGTAAGAATCTTTAGTTGTCTGGTTATCGCATATCGTGTAGTCAGATGATCTGTTTGAATACGAGAATCCCACTCCAGCTGGCGACTCCAAGAATAGTACACTGGCCACTATCATTTTTCAACAATAGGGTTTTATAGGGTTAGGCATTCACCAGCAAGACAGGGACTAAGATTAGAAGTGATGTGAATGGGACATAGTAATTAAAGGAATTTTTAAAGGAGGAGGCCCAGATGCTGAAGTACCATTTTTGAGTTTTGACCAATACCATCTGAAGGACCCGTAACCAATGCCCATGACCCGTATTTCTTGAGGTTTTTAGCGGGTCTGGGGAAATTAACGAACACCCAATTCAAGATTTGAAGGGATGGTTTTAGTAGAGAAAAGGAACCTCCCAATTCAAGATTTGACCCAATACAACTATAAACATGTTAACCAACAGGTCCCACAGTCACCATGTTAGACATAAATCACCAGAAACAATATACTATTTATAGATCCGCATGTCCTTGCTATGCATAAATGAAAATAATAAAAAAATATATATTAACATAATCTATCAATAATGATGCAAAATTCTGCATTTGAGCAACAAATAAAAGAAACAGACAGGTCTACCATAAACAACATACATAGATATAATATGAAAGAAACGGAGTCATGATCATTCTGTTTCAGCAACATTACCATATTGCCAAGGGTTGAACTCAATCTTTGTGATGTCAGCATCTTCATTTGTGTTTGAGTTGCCAACATCAATAGCCTCCCGATGTTTGGAATATTTTCCATTGTATTCATAAATCTCCAAATCACCCCATGGTGTCACATCAACCTCTTCAGTCATATCAAACCATCGAGGAATAAATTTCTATCCCTTCGCCTCGCGAGTCCTCTTCTCACTTCTCTGTTTCTCCTCCAAACTAATAAACACAAATCATTAATCCAATCAAGTCTTACACTTATTTCCCTCGCTTTCACTTTACTCATTAAATTTTGTACAATTATGTATGTGTGTGTGTGTGTGAGAGAGAGAGAGAGAGAGAGAGGCATACATGCTTTTTTCTGAACCAACTTTAGAAAGATCACCCGTTTCAAGTGTTGAACACGACTCTTTGTATGGGAAACAACAAGACTTTTATTAAGACACTTAAGAAGACCTTACACTTTGTGAGACTACTACACACTTTGCTTTCTTTGAGGCTTTCTTGGATGGTTTGGAGCAAATGAGCTCCATACCTATTTATAGGCCTCTTAGGAAGGTTCTAGATACTAGTATACACTTACTACATACTAGATAACTCTAGAACTATCTAACATACTCTATATGCTTCCATATGTTTCTAGAATATTCTACCATGTTCTGGAGAGGTCTAGGTTGCTCCAGTGTCTTCTAGAATGATCCATATCCTTCCAGGGTCTTCCATGTCGTTCTAGAGTATTCTAGACTCTTCCGGTATATTCCAGAGTCTTCCATAGTCTTCCATAGTCTTCCATAATGTTCTAGAATCTTCTAGAGCATTCTAGAACAAGCTAAAGTCTTCTAAATAATATTTGTTTTATTGGGCTAGTGATGATCTTTAACACTCCCCCTCAACACTAGCCCTCATTCTTCGTACCATGTTAAGCTGACAGCGAAAACCTTCACATTTTCCAGTACTCAGCCCTTTGGTGAACAAGTCTGCTATTTGATTATCGGTCTTGATCTGCCGCATCTCAATTTCTTCCATCAAGACTTTCTCTCTGATAAAGTGATAATGCACTTCCACATGCTTTGTTCTAGCATGAAATACTGGATTTTCTGCCAGCCGAATTGCAGACTGGTTGTCACAGTGAAGTGGTACTGCATAGTCAACTTTTTGATGTAAGTCCTCCATTAGGAGTACCAACCATGTACTTTCTTGAGCTGCTACGGCCGCTGCTTTGTACTCCGCTTCCGTGGTTGACAATGATACTGTTGGTTGTCTTTTACTACACCATGATATTGGTCCCGACCCAAGCTTGAACACATACCCAGTGGTTGATCTTCGGGTATCATGGTCTCCTGCATAGTCAGCATCACAATATCCAACCAACTTGCAGTCTTCTCCTCTTTTATACAAGAGACCATAGTCAATCGTACCTTTGACATATCTCAAGATCCGTCGGGCAGCATCCAAATGAGGTTTCTTCGGACTTTGCATGTATCGACTCATAACTCCAACTGCATAAGCAATGTCAGGCCGAGATAAAGTTAGGTAGATAAGACTACCTACTAGTTGTCGATACATCGTTCCATCGTCCAACTCTTTTCCTTCATGAGCACATATCTTGGCATTTGGCTCTATTGGTGTTGATATTGGCTTACACTCCAACATGCCAAACTTTTGAAGTATATCTCTTGTATACTTTTGTTGGCAGAGAAACAACCCTTCTTTTGTACGATCAACTTCTAACCCCAAGAAGTGTTTAAGTTCCCCCAGCTCTTTCATTTGGAATCGCACCGATAGATTTTCTCTTGTTTGATGGATTTCTCTTTCGTCATCCCCGGTGATGATCAAGTCATCCACATAAACCAACACAATTGCCAACTTCCCTTCTTTTTCTTTGATGAATAGGCTTGAGTCTGCATGTGCAACTAAATAATCACTTCGGGTAAGAAATTCAGCAATCTTACCATACCAGGCTCTTGGTGCCTGCTTCAATCCGTAAAGAGCTTTTCTCAACTTGCACACATGATTGGGATTAACTTCATCCTCAAATCCCTTTGGTTGGTTCATGTAGATCTCCCGATCTAATTCTCCATGCAAGAAAGCATTCTTCACATCCATCTGCCATAATTTCCAGTCTTTACTAGCTGCAAGAGCTAACAACACCCGTACAGTAGTTATCTTCGCCACTGGACTAAATGTTTCATCATAGTCCAATCCATATTGTTGTGAGAACCCTCGAGCCACCAGACGAGCCTTGTATCTCTCAATTGATCCATCTGGGCGACGCTTTATTTTATAAACCCACTTGCAGGAAATGGGTTTTAAATCTCTTGGTCTTGGTACTAGTTCCCAAGTTTGATTCTGCTCTAAGGCTGTAACTTCTTCTTCCATCGCCTTCTGCCAAGCTTTATTCTTAATTGCTTCTTCATATGTCTCCGGCTCTTTAACACCGTCTTCTAAAATGGCCGCATTAGCATACTTGGGATTAGGCTTTCGGATTCTTTCCGTCCTTCGAAGTTGTGGAGGCGGCGGCTCCCTTTCACCGGCATCACTTGTTTGAGTTACTTCTTGCTCAATGACATCAGTGTCGCTCGGATCTTCAGGTGTATCAACACTTGACCAAATATGTGCAGTTTGCTCCCCCATCTTTTGTTTTAAAACTTCTTCAATATTTTCCGAGTCTGGTAGTACTTTCTTCTCTGAGGACCACCATGAAGATGCTTCATCGAACACTACATCTCTTGAAGTGTAGCATCTTCCACTTGTTGGATCACAACACCCCATCCTTTTCTTTGATTGTCATATCCAACAAATATACACCTGGATGCTTTCTTGTCAAACTTGCTACGTAAATGACTAGGTACAAATACGTAGCAGATGCAACCAAATACTCGGAAGTAGCTAACAGTAGGTTTCATGTTCCATAGTGTCTCAAATGGTGAGATGAAACCTAACCTTGGTTGGGGAAGTTTATTGATCACATGGGCAGCAGTTTGCATTGCTTCAGCCCAAAATCTTCCTGGGACATTCTTCGCGTGTAGCATGCTTCGACAAATTTCTGCAAGATGTCGATTCTTTCTCTCAGCTACACCATTTTGTTGAGGTGTGTTGGCACATGTGAATTGATGACGTATACCACATTCTTTTAGATAGCGATTGAATTCTTCTGAGGTGTATTCTCCTCCATTGTCTGAGCGTAGACATCGAATCTTCTTTCTCACTTCTCCTTCGACCGTTGTCTTGAATTCTAGAAACTTTGAGAATGTTTCAGATTTTTCTTTCATGAAGAAAACCCACACATATCTCGAATAATCATCAATGAATGTCACCATGTACCGCATCCCGCTAACTGATGTCTGCTTGACTGGACCGAACACATCTGAGTGAATTAACTCTAGTGGCTTCTTTGCTCTAAAATTTGACTCCTTGTATGGTAATTGATGAGCTTTGCCATACTGACATCCAGCACAAACAACATCTGTTTTAACTTCAAGTTGAGGTAAGCCATTGAGCATGGATTTCTCCATTATTACCTTCAACTTGTGATAACCAACATGTCCCAGCCGTGCATGCCATAGATCTGTTGTCTCGTTCTTACGAGTCTTGTCTACATAGGCAGACTCTGCGGAGAGCACATAAACGGACTCCACTCTTCGTCCTTCCATTGTTGGCATTTCTGATATTTTAAGATCTCGATAGACCTTCACATCTTGTGGGCCAAACAAGACGTAGTTGCCTGACGATGTTAGTTGCGATACCGACAACAAGTTCTTCTTCATACCTGGCACGTGATACACATTATGTAGTGACACCATGTCAGATTTATTACCAGGCATGATCGTCGTTTTTCCAATCTGAGCAATTGGAAGTCGTGCATTGTTGGCTGTAAGTACCATGCGACTCCCTTTGTACTCCTTCACGTCTTGTAGTTTGTTCTGATCGCCAGTCATGTGATTGGAGCATCCTGAATCAATGATCCAGTCATTTTCATAGTTGATACGCTCTCCCATCATTGTCATGAGTGCCAACTCGTTTTCTTCAATGGCACATAATGCCTCAGCATCCCATTCATCCTCTATTTCCTTTTTGGAAGTTACTACATTGCTTTCCACAGACTTTTTCTTTGACCAACAATCCTTGGACATGTGGCCCCACTTTCCACAGTTGTTGCAGTTGCCTTCGAACCTCCTCCCCGAGAACTCTTATTGTCGGTCTTTTGAGATCTCCATGGTTTTGAGGTTCCTTGCTGACTCTTCCCTTTGTCAGCATTTTTGTATCCTTCTTTAGAAGGTGGCTTGAAATTCCTCCGACTTTTACTTGTGTAGAGTGCTTCTTCTTCACTCTTCAGCGTGATGCCTCCCATTTGCTTAGCCATAGCTTCTTGGCTGGCCAACAAATTCTCAAACTCTACAAGTGATGGTTGAGCGGGCCATCCTTGTACAGCAGTAACAAAGCTTCTATATTCCGGCCTCAGTCCATGGATAATGATTCTCTTCATTCGAGCTTCTGCAATGACGGATTGTGGATCTAGTTCAGTAATCTCCCGACATATCGACTTGACCTTGTGGAAATATTGAGCAATCGTCATGTCACGTTGTGAGATTGATAATAGCTCGTTCTCCAAAAGTTGTAGTCTCGTATCATTCTTCTTTGAGAAAAGCGTCACAAACGTGTCCCAAGCTTCTTTCGGGGTGTTCTCATCCCGAATATGCTCCAACATCTCTTCTTCAATTGTGGTCTTCAAGGCAAACATTGCTTTGCCTGCTTTGATTTTCCATTTGCGTAAAGCACCATTAACGTCTTCCTCTGGTGGCGTAGTTTCGCTTCCACCAACGACCTCCCATAGATCTTGTCCTTGTAAGTAGGACTTCATACATGTTTCCCACGTTTTGTAGTTGTTGTTGTTGAGTTTCTTGATTCCTCCGATGACTTGGAGATCACCCATCGTGTTGGCAGTACCTCGGTAATACCAAACAAGCTAGTTTTGATACTAAACTTGCAGAGTCACAAACTACTCACGATACAACGAGAATCACTCGTTCTCACTATCAAGAAACCTTGCTCTGATACCAGATTGTTGAACACGACTCTTTGTATGGGAAACAACAAGACTTTTATTAAGACACTTAAGAAGACCTTACACTTTGTGAGACTACTACACACTTTGCTTTCTTTGAGGCTTTCTTGGATGGTTTGGAGCAAATGAGCTCCATACCTATTTATAGGCCTCTTAGGAAGGTTCTAGATACTAGTATACACTTACTACATACTAGATAACTCTAGAACTATCTAACATACTCTATATGCTTCCATATGTTTCTAGAATATTCTACCATGTTCTGGAGAGGTCTAGGTTGCTCCAGTGTCTTCTAGAATGATCCATATCCTTCCAGGGTCTTCCATGTCGTTCTAGAGTATTCTAGACTCTTCCGGTATATTCCAGAGTCTTCCATAGTCTTCCATAGTCTTCCATAATGTTCTAGAATCTTCTAGAGCATTCTAGAACAAGCTAAAGTCTTCTAAATAATATTTGTTTTATTGGGCTAGTGATGATCTTTAACATCAAGTGCATATCTATCGGACCTCAACCAAGAATCTGATGCCAATAAACTTGGTGGAGCAGTATCGAAACTGTTTACTTTATGTGCAAAATGTGTATACTAAATGATCTACTGCATGACAACTTTAGAATGATATACTGCATGACAATTGTTGAAGCTCGCGTTCCATTCTAATGGTATAATCCTATTTAAGAAATTAAGATTTGTTTCAGAACTCAGAAAAAACCACTTAACAGATAAGACAAATTCAAAGTCAAAGTCAAACCTGAAAGCGGTCAACAGAGAAATTCCACCTTTTAGATTTTTCTGGTGCTATAGTTAGAAGTATCTGAACAACTTCACTCATTGTTGGGCGAGCATCAGGATGCAACAACAAAAACTGTTTTGCTAAATAAGTCATCACTTGCGTATTTTCTTCTTCAAACTTCCCTTTCAGACATGGGTCCGGCAGTTCCTTACTCACTCTCCTGCTATCTTGTAAAAGTGGTGTCGCCTGAAAATGAAAATTATCACTTTCTTTTACTAAATTACATTTTGATCCCTTTTTTACAAATTTGGTCCCCAATAATTCTAATTATTGCAATCTTCGTCCTTATTTAGTAAAAGAAAATATAAGATCAAGAAGCACAACACCAAATCTAAAAACATCTGACATCAGCGATGCCCTTCCAACAATCGCATATTCAGGGGCAAAATAGCAAAATGCCCCTTGCATTCTAACAGGTGAGCTAGAACAGCTTGGAACACCATCACTCACCAAACTCTTAGCCATTCCCAGATCAGTAATCTACCAACAAAATCATCACACAATAAAAAATCAAAGTTATTAATATTCACAAATGTGATATTAAAAATTATTAATCCCAATTCCCACCTTTGCTCTCCGGTTTTCATCCAAGAGAATATTAGTGGATTTAACATCTCTATGCAGGATTCTTGGTGCAGCTGCTTCATGAAGATATGCCAACCCTCTAGCAGCTCCAATGGCTACTGCAATGCGGGCCCCCCAGTCTAGACATTTTTCTGAAACCCCATCTAGACACTCTCTCATGTTGCCATTTGGCATGTATTCAAACACCAAAAGCATCTCAGGCTGTTTTGTGTGGTATTGGTATTCCAAACAGTACCCAAGTAATGGCACCACATGACAGTGATGCAGTCTTGACAGCAGTTCAATCTGAACATAAACTGAACTTGTTTACTAAAAAAACTATTTTGCATTTATATATTTAATTAATTATTAATCGTTACCTCTGTCAAAAATGTTACTTCAACATCTGGGCCTCCTCCTTGAGATTTAAGACGTTTGATTGAATCTTGCTAAACAATTTAGTTCTCATATATGCCTCAGCTTCTAACCTTGATTTCCATTTGATGTTTTCATAGCTCATTAGTAGATAATTGTTGAGCATCATGAACTTTTAATTCTAACTTTGCAGGATCTGAGTCACCTGCAAAAATGAGCACGAAATGCCAACTTCAGTTACAAAAATATAACATTTAAAGCAATATAAACTTTTTTTCATTATATAGGATAAACTAAAAATAACCATTCGCAGTATCATATTTTGTTCACTATAAAAAATATATATATCTAAAAGTGAGATTACCAATATACCATCACCTTTTTATGGAAATGATAATGTTTGTAACAGAAAATAGTTAAGATACCTTAAGCTAATGTCATGCTTTCGCATATCCCTCATTTATTTGGGTTAGAAATTGCACATACAACCTAATCTACATTCATAAACGATTCAACATAAGGTATAAGCTAATTGCACCCTACAAATTAAATCTATCATCGAGGCTCTATTGGTCACGTTTATACACGTAAACTAAAATATACAATAGGAAAAAGATTAAACAATGAAGAAAAGGACCATGATGGTAGTAAGAATAGTATAGATATACCTGAGCCTCATAGTATTTAATATACTGCTTAGCCATGTTAAAGATAACTCTTTGTTTTTTAGGTGCATCTAGATGAGCCAAAAACAATATGAATCCGGATTATCCAGAAGATCAGGTGGATATGGGACAATCCAACATGAAGCGGTGTGGATCCACTTTGATATGTGTCATCGATGCTTTTCTGGTTTCTGATAAAGAAAAGAAAATCAAAACAAGTACCGAATTGATTTTAAAATTATAAATCAACTCAAAATAAAATAAGAATTAAAACAAAATAGGAGTTTAATGCATAACATTTCAAATTTCCTAGTTCTACTAATAAACAAAGAAGAGGATTAGTGAATAATATGAATAAATTATTAAAAAAAAAAATTCAGCATCATAAGAAGAATTCCAAAACTTATTTTAAAACACAAATCTAACAATAAAAAATCAAATCCGGAACAGCAATATATGTAACAAAACCTAAGGGGAAAACTTTCAATCAGGTTTCAAATTTCATGTTTAGGGTTCAGAAATGGGCAAAATTCCCAAAGAATGGGACACCACGGAATCAATTCATCATTCGGTCCATATATCATTATAAATCCCGAATTAGAATCATGTAATTACCCGTAATCCCACTTCGCGCCTTCATCTCTGATAAGGTTCGAACAGAATAACGAAACAAAGCCTCTTCAGAGAAAAAGAAAACAGAATATAGAATATCCGGAAGGTTAAGGGGATATACCACAGTTGAATATAAGGTGGTGTGAAGGATCGACTTTGATGTCCATGGCATCGTCGTCAAGTGAAATAGATGAACTGGTGAATTTTTTGGTAGGAAATCAAGGGTTTTTGTGGATGACCTCGTCAATGTTTTTGTTGGGGAAGAAGACCGACATGTTGTTGGAAGAGAAGGAGAATCATTGAATCGGTACATCTTTCAATGTGGAGAAGATTGAAGGAGAAAAGAAGAAGAGACGTACATCTTTCAAGGCGGGTTTTTTGATTTTTTCTTTTTTTTTAGGATTTCATTTTCCGCCTAGCTACTAAGCAAACGCACATTCAGTAAAAAAAAATATAAAGAGACACCTCTACACGTCACACATATTTTTTTAGGTGCCCTCCGTGGTTTTTTTTCCTTTTTTTGGGACACTAATTTTAGGGCGTTCAGAAACGAGTGTCCTAAATCCTTCTAATTTTGGGAGAGATGACATTATTTTTAGGGCACACACTTTTGCGTTTCATAGTTTGCGTGTCATTAAAGTGCTATTTTCTATTAGTGTTATTTTAAAATTGAAATTTAGTTTATTTATGATTACACTTTAGATTTGATATTTATTTAACATTATTAACCAACTATAATCATTATTACAAAGACACTACAATTTATCACTTTTAACTATTTACAAAATATTCTTTGGGTTGTTTAAATTAAACTAAAATTTATATTAAGTTAACCATGTAATGTTATATTTAAATTAATAATTTAAGTATTTTGTACAAATTATTCCAAAATTGTATCTTTAAAATGATAATGGTTTACATCCAACAATATATTAAAACTAATAAATTAAGTATAATATGTTAAAAGTTAAAAAAACATAATTTTATAAGTAGAAGTAAAGATATTATTTTAATATTGAAATTTAGTTTATATATGATTACACTTAGGGGTGGCAACTCTCGACCCAACCCGTACCCTGACACTGACCCAACCCGAAAATAGATGGGTTTGGGTTGAGATTTTTGACTTGCCAACCCACCAACCCGTTTATTTCATGGGTTGGGTTATCTGTTTGGATTCGCGGGTCAACCCACCAACCTATATATATAATATATATATTATATATTATATATATATATATATATATATATATATATATATATATATATATATATATATAATAATATTTAATTATTAATGAAATTTGATTTCCGTCCATATTCGTAATATTCTGTATCCTTGTATTCCTTCCGTATCCGTATGTGACTAATCTGCATTTGCGGTTCGTTATTCAGAAAAAGAATAAATTCATGTCATTATTTTAACGAATCACGAACGAAGAACACATCCACTTTCTATGTTATCAACTTTATGAATTTATGTTGAAAGCCTTTTTATGTTAATTACTTTAATCATTTTATGAATTTATGTTGAAAAAACATCATGTTTTTTAAATGGGTTGTTTATTTATTAAATGGGTTTTATGGGTTGGGTTGGGTTGGGTTGAGGTTTCCAACCCACCAACTTGTGACCCGCCAACCCGTCAACCCATATATTATATGGGTTGGGTTGAGTTTATGTTTTCTGACCCGTCAACCCATGGCCCGCCAACCCGAACCCAACCCAATTATCAGGCCTAATTACACTTTAGGTTTGATAATTATTTAACCTAGTTAACCAAATTATAATTATTATTAGAAAGAAATTGAAAATTCATGGGAGTTTCAAATAAATGTGGTTAAAGAAAATATACATGGGAGTTTCAAATGAATGTGGTGAAAAATGTTCAAAAGTTGCAGCTTTAAATTGATAATGGTTTACATATAACAACATATTAAATTTAATAAATTAAGTATAAGATGTTAAAAGTTAAAGACATAACTTTATAAGTAGAATTAAATATACTATTTTAAAATTGAAATTTAGTTTATTTATGATTACACTTTAGGTTTGATATTTATTTAACCTTATTAACCAACTATAATCATTATTATAATGTAGCGCCCTGTTCTAAATTGACTCCTAGTCTGAGGTTGTGGCCTGAAGGTCAGTCATTATAAGGATTATGGCTTTTGAAAAGGGTAAGACCTAGGCCATTTTGGGTGCGAGCGATGTATTAGAAGAGTTCCGGATGTTTGGTTTGTGTTTTGGAGCCTAGGGGTATTTCGGTAAAGTGTCAATTTGGGCTTTTGTGGAAAATGGAATTTTGTTTGGAAGGTATTTAATGAGTTTATAGAAGTGTAGGGCTTCTCGTTACCTTTACGTAGATATAAGGATCGTCGAAAACAGACTTATAACGAAGAAGTTATGGCCTTCGGAAGTTTAGTGGTTTCAGGCTTAGCCGAGTAAGTTGGGCGTATACAAAGGGTACGCTGGGCGTACTAGAGAAGAAGGCAGTATGTTGGGCATACTTTTGGAGTACGTTGGGCGTACTGACCAGGATGGTCGCGAATGTTCTTCGGGGTACGCTGGGCGTACCGTATGTACGTTGGGTGTACGCCAATCAGACCTGAAACCTATTTTAGGGTCTTAGACCCTATTTAAGATCCTTATCTCATAACCTAACCCTAATATCTTCATCCTCCACCCTCTAAACCCTAGAAATCGACCCTTAGCCCTCATTTGAGTGATTTTTGAGCTTAGATGGCCATTAGAGGAGTATTTCGGAGTTTTTGAAGAAGAAGGTGTTTAGAGAAGAAGCAAGATATTGAAGAGAGCTTGTAGATCCAGAGGCTTTACATCATTTCCAGCCTATTGAAGGTATAAAGTTCTCATCTTGGTGCTTCTACATCATAGATCTAGGTTCTCATGGATATTGTCCCTTTTTGGTTTCAAGAATGGATTTTTATGGTGCAAATCCGTTTATGGACTTAGGGTTGCCACCTATGAAGTTATTTGAGTCCCTTGAGCAGTAAAGTTGCAATCTTTAAGGCCCATTTGTATCCATGCAAGAGATTTATCCATTCCCATGAAGATAGTTGCTATTTTTTCAAGTTTGGTCTCATTTGGTGAGGTGCAAGCCACCAAGTGATTAACTTTATGGGTTAAGAAGGATTATTAGACTCAGATTTGAAGTTTGGAAGTTGTGTCTTAAGGGATTAAGAAGTTTTGAAGAATATGGCTTATCAGGGGAGTACGTTGGGCGTACACGCCAGTACACGTAGCGTACAAGCCATGCAAGTTGTACGCACAACGTACAGAAGAGTACGCTCAGCGTATACTCAAACTGTGGACTTTGCGTTATTGGACCTCAGTTTGAGGCCAGGCCTTGGGTTAGCAGATGTTGGGCTGTAATGGGCCACTAGGAGACAGTTAAGGGCCCAAGGGCTAGTTTGAATTTGGGTGGAAATCCCATTTGAGGAGTTGGGCCCAATTTAGAAAATTGGGTCATTTGAGGACTTTAATGGGCCTTAGTGAGTTTGGAAATACTAGAAAGGATTGGGCCTCGGTTGTGGTCCACTTTAGAGCAAAGAGGGTAAAATAGTCATTTTACCCTTACAATGGATTCTTTGTTTTTGACTAAGTGTTTATTTTTTTGGTCATAATAGTTGGGGAGTCATTGGAGTAGCTGACAAAGATACCCTCGCCCGAGTTTTCAGCATCCAGTTTGAGAGGTGAGTTTTCCTCCAGTAGGAACGAATCTAAGGCACCAATATCAGCCTGTTTATGTAGTTATAGTATGTCGGGGTTAGCCCGATGTAGTTTATATGTTCAGTTTATATGTTTAGTTTATTTCGGACTTCGGTCCAATGCTGGGGTGGTCCCGAGAAGTAGTTTTGTATGCTTGATGTCTTTGTGATTCATGCATGTTTATGTTATGTGTTATGTGTTCTAGACTTCAGTCTGATGTCGGGCAAGTCCGATATAGTGTATGTGAGTATGTTATATGTTTGAGTTATGTTATGCTTCAGTTTATTCCGGACTTCGGTCCGATGCTGGGCGGGCCCCGATGTAGTGAGCGGGAACCAAGTTATTCCGGACTTCGGCCTGATACCGAGTGGGGCCCGATGCAGTGGGTGGGGCCCAAGTTATTTCGGACTTCGATCCGATGCCAGGCGGGCCCCGATGCAGTAGGCAGGGCCCAATATATGTTATAGGTGCTTTGTATGGTATGTGGTAGTATACGGGAGCTCACTAAGCTTGATGCTTACAGTTTCAGTTTTGGTTTCAAGTACTTCCGGTACGGAAGGAAGAGCTCGGGATGACTGCATGGCACACACCAAGAAGTTTTACTCCGGGATGTTTACTCTGATAAAAGGAACATGTTCGAGATGATACTCTGAATTGATATAACGAGTTATGTTTATGATTAAGATTTATGGTTTTATTAATGAGTAAAAATGAAATTTTTGGCTTGTATTTTTGGGATGTTTCTGTTGGATTAGTGTCTAAGTCCATAACTATTTTGGTATGTACTTGACCCGATGGTGCATGGTCCTTTTGGGTTGCCTTCACCAAAGCAACTTGATTGGAGAAATATATAAAGAGAGAGGATAATATGATTTATTAATATGTTATAAGAATAATATATTAAAGGAGAAATCATATTTGTTTAATTAATATTGGTCAATAATTAATTAGGAATTAATTTTGTGATCAAGTGTAATTAATTAAACTAGAGGGGCTGATTTGTAATTATGTGATAGTTACAAAATAAGGTAAGGATTATCTTAAATGGTGAACGAATTTGAGGTGATAAGGCCTTAGAATTCGACTATGATAAGGATTCAAGGATTATCTTATGGGTTGCTTTGTGGATAAGCAACTAGATAAGGATAATGACTGAAACTCTATCTCTACACCTATGTAAACACCCCTTGGCTCATGAATTCGTGTATCTCTTCCCAAGAAGTCCTAAGGATGAATTCTAACCTCTCTCCTCTCTCTTTATACCTTCTCCATTTGCTCTTGGTGTTTGTAAGCCATTAGAGGAGTGACACTTGTGACTCTAAGCATTCCAAAGTCAATTCAAGGAGATTTAGGATTGTTATTGCTATATAACAATCAAGGTATGTTCTTAAACCTAATTATATGTTAATATCGATTTCCATATACTAGAATTAGGGTTTATAGTCTTGGATTCAAAGCATGTACAATAGAGAAACCTAGATCCAAGCATTAGGGTTTGTATGAGCACATAGGATGTCTTATGACCAAAACCCATCAGTGGTATCAGAGCCATTGGTTTGGTTTCAATTGTATGAACTTGATAT